ATTTTAAAAATATTTTTGTCAAGCTATGATCAATCAATTAAATTTATTTTAATAATTATTTTTAAAATATCCTTATTAAGAAAAATTATTTTCATACTTTTCTTCAATATAAAAAAGGTAAAACAAATAGGAAGGATCCAGCAAATGACGAAGTAGCCTGGCCTGGCTGAGATGAAACAGAGCATCATAGAAAGCATTGGCGCCAGGGCAGAGAGCAATCAGGAAGCACCGAAGAAAAGCCAGGCAGAATCGTAAATACGATCCAGGCTTCATAATGGGCGGCCAAATGATTCACAGGACGGTGCTGGAGACGCTACCAAAGTGCAAACAAAAAAAGAAAAAGAGAGAGAGAATCCGACAACTCCAAGTTTTGTCGGGGAATCAGCTAGAGAATTATCTTCTCTTAAACCATGCAACAAAGGAAACGTTGCCAATCATTTGAATGAGAGCGTCAATTTCATTGAAAGTTTGCCGACTTTCCACGATCTTTGGGATTCATTTGTGACCCAGGAAGAGCTACCCTGGAGTCAGATTCGATGATAAGGTTTGAGCCAACATACAAGGAGCGAGAATACAAAGAACTAACACAATCAAACTTATCAGCAAGCCATGCTCTAATGAGGATGAATGTGGCTTTTATAAGAAACGCGATCGGAGAAAAATCAGCCTCGACCCATACTGAAAGTAAGCCTCTTGATCTCCCAACAGATGGACTAAAAACCCAATCAAAATTATCATTGTGCCAAAGTATCACGATAACTCTACTTGTGATATTTTCTGATTTCGTTCCCTGAATCAAGAGCATGTCTACATTGTTGACGGTTAAACTTTTGGTAACCAGGTTGGTTGAAAGAGAACAACCTAAGCCATGGACATTCCGCGATAAAATGCGCTTAAAGACTTGCCACCCAGCGAAACCAGAAATCATGACCAAAAGAAGGACTGTTAGAATCAGACAAACCAGCTGTGATTTTCATAATTTGAGACACAAAATTCAGAAATAAATTGAAAGAAGATGAGAGACTGGTGCTGAAATTATCTATCGTGCCATGAGAATACATTCAATAAGGGAAGGAAAGAAAGAAACTTCTGAAACGAGCTCACTTCTGTACAGTGGCTTTCTCAATTGCCAGTAAATTGTCCAACAATAACTGTTCAGAGCATCTAGAAACAAGGCCCACCTGTTTGCCTAAGTTCCACGTTGATGCCGCTTCACCATTGTCCACACTGGAGGTGGAGTGAAAGGACTTTCGTGCCAGCTTTCCAATACCCTTTTTTCTCAACTTCTTGGTATTGATAGCTCAACTTTTTTCTGTCCGAAACCAACTCAGGGAATTCATCAACAAAAGATGCCTTTAATCCTTTGGGAGAAGAGTTCACTCTTTCATCAGACTCTGAATCAATATCAGGCTCATGATATGGAAATGTCGTGGTCGGAGTCTTGATTTGGTGATGATGAGCTAGATGTCGAATGTGATAAAGATTAATGACCTGTAATTAACTCTGGAACAGGAGCTTTGATAAGAGGTGGATGACGAAGCTGACCTGGGCTGATGCTTCGGGGAAACGTAGGGCTGATGCTGCAGGGCATGGCTAATTAGGAAGAATTTGGTCGAACTTAAACAAAACAGAGGATTCCTTATACCAGACTATTCCCAAAATCAGATTAAACATAAAGCACAAGAAATCAAAACCTTCCCAAACATCTAAACCAACTAAACCAGATGCCCATGCGACGTCACAGACCTCCACCTCATAAGAAAACCAATCCTGACGGTAGCTAGATGAATTGAAACAAGAACCAGAATTTACCACCATGCCATAAACATGTCATTTCAGAAATACCACAGCCTTTACCGAAGACCATTTGAACCTTGTCGAAGTAGCTAACTCCAATATCAGGTATGAAAGAATCAATCTCGTCGAAAGAGATCCACAATGGGCGATCCTTAAACGAAGGAGGTCCAATTCCACAATTAACCTAACTTTTTCCTTTCCAATCTATTGTCAAGAAAATGTCCTAGGCATATTAATAGCACAAAGTACAGCCACGTTAGAATGTTGAACCTCAAAGGACCTGACAATAAAGCTGGAATAAAACTAGAGGAATCGCTTTGTAGTCCACTGCGACCTACAAGATCAAGCTACCCTTTAGCTGCATTATCCACATTACATATCATTGGCCCCTGAAATATCTAGAAAAAGATGGAGCACAAGCCAAAGGGCTTTCCCACTGCAAGGAATCCGAGAGTAATATATCCTCCAGGAAAGCATTAATCCAAAACATAGACCGAATCTTCACCACGAAAATAACTTCATCGACCGACCAATTCTTCTTTTCAAAAACAGACTCATTTCGTACTAACCATAGAGACCAAATTGCTGCGGCACAGAAAACTAAGCACCAAGCGATTAAAACAAGCCACCAAAGGGGACATCCAAACATTGTAGCATGAATAAATTCAATGAAGAAGGATGACAACATTTTTACATTCCAACAGATGAGAAATCACACCAAATCCAATACGCCCGTGGGCAGCGTATAGAGATTTGACTGTCACTTTGTTAGACACAAAGTACAAGATGGAATGACCAGCCTCTGTTATGTTCATACGAAGCAGCAGGTTGCCGATTTGTTTACCAAGGCATCACCACCAGCTCAATTCCATGCACTCATCAGCAAGATGAGCATTATTGACATTCATATGAATGTACATCTTGAGGGGATAGTTAACAGCATAAGCATTGACAGGACACAAGTGCAATACAAGATTCTTAGTTAAATTCTATTAATGGGAACGTTGTAAATTTCTTTAAGTCTGTTTAAAATTGGTTACTGGTATGCTTGTAATTTGGCAGTTTAGTTGTAACCTTTCGTGTCTTTTGCTTTGTGTATAAATACAATTTTACAACTAATGAACATTTCTTGTTAATGAAGATCATCGCATGTCCAGAAAGATCACCTCTCTCTGTTCTTGTTTCTTTAATTGCTTAATTAAAGTACTTCGTCTAAGACTTGAAACTCATATTCTAACAAAGGATTAAGGACAGATTGGTAACACATCGTATGAAATGACCAGCTCATGAACTGTTCAACTCACAAGCCCAGATAAATTTAAGCACATGAAAGATAATCCAAGAACATTTTATTTGATCATTTTCATTTATTCTCCAATAATTCAGCTGTTATACAAATTCTTCATCAACAAGAAACCATCCACTCCAAGTGATTATTTAAACCCAAAAAAAAAAAAACCGAGTAAATTGAATCATTAGTCCTTGGGAGGAATGCTAGCATCAGTGTCTCTTTCCAGGGCACGGGAGACCTAAACAAGCTATCCTTGGCTGTTCCACCGCCTGGATTTTTACCCTGCCAATCCCAACTGCATGAAAACAAACTTTTCCAACTTAAATAACTTAGCTGAAAAATATTTTATCTATCATTAATTAAATAAATATCTATAATTTAGTTATTAGGATGACTTACTGTTTAGTAGTTTGCTCTCAGCCATGGTGAATATGAGAAGAAAAGAGAGCAGCAGAAAAAAGTTTACGGCCATTGTTGGTTTGCTGTCATGCCTAGCCATGATTATTGGTCCGGCTGTATAGCAGGAATAAGCTCTTCTTGCATGTATGTTGGTGTGATTTGCCTTTTGAGAGGAGTTAACCTATTTATAAGGGAAAAGATAAAGGCAGAAATGAAAATTACTACTGGAAGTTATTAACAATTGAGTCATCGAATGACAATATTCGGTTTTTCCTAAGCAAAGAAGTTGTCTCTGTATGTAACCATGGCGGATCTTACAACTTTAAGCAATGGAACTTATCGAAAATTTAAATAATGCTAGTGTCACATGCTTTATATAT